ATCCGCCAAAGCAGCCGTAAACCCACCCGCCATTGTGAAATTTAGCAGAAGCGATGCACTTGTTTCTACTAGCTTCTTGTTCCTACTAGTAAGGCACCTGTTACTACTAGCGATGCACTTGTTACTAGTAGCTTATATTACTCAATTCAATTGGTTTGCGCTCCGTCTTGGAGGACGCTCCGTGAGACGGACTCATGTGGACCGTCGGCCGACTCGAGTCGGGACGCCCATCGATTCACATCGATGTGTCGAACGGGATCTTTGTTCTTAGGGTGTCTCTTCGGTCTCTTTGTTCTGTTCTTTTTTAAGGAGTCGTATTATTGTAAAACAACTGTTCGCTTGAACATGCGTTTTCATGGTGTTTTTTCTCAATTTCATTCTGTGTTCTTTCTTTCTTTCAACTTCTCCAACCCAAGCTTTCCAGCGCACCGCCCGTCTGAGCGGTGCCGACGCTGCACGACATGTCGGACAAGGAGACAGCGCCCAAGGCGCAGGTGATGGTCAAGGTGCCGGTGTACCTGCGATCTTTCTCGTGCGCTCTCGTGCGCTCTCTTGGTGTTCTCTAAGCTGGATGTTGTTTTGCTGTGGATGTTGTGGACCTTTCTTGGGGACCTCACGCCATGTCACGCCCAAACATCTTGAAGCTCTATCCCGGCTCATGCCCCCATATCAATGAAAAGGTGATCCTCGGAATCCGTATCAATCTGTTTACCACTGGATCCTCGATGGTCTAGGGATCTTCAGGATGTGAACTATTCAGTTGAGGATCCCCATTCCTGGAGCCAAACCATGCATCCCCCATCCGCCGGAGAAGGGTGGTACAATGATGAGTCGAAGAATTCGGTCTTGCGAGGCCTTGCGCATTCTAAAAGTTAACTGTTCATCCGAGAATTGTTGATGAGTCTGCTCCCCTGGCACCCTCTTGGTCAGGAAAGCAAGTCTACAATCCCAAGCTTTAGAGGCTGTTGTGGCCACTGGTGACAAAACAAACGAGGATGAGTGACTGAGTCATTTGATAAAAAGCAAACACCTCCCTGTGTGAGCTTATGACAGTTTATGTTTGGTCTGCAGAAATCCTTCTAAATGGAATGATGAAGAGGATTCCACAGGGACTTCTCTTTCCTGCCGTAGTCCGTCTTCGTCCGAGCCATGTTCCCAGGCTGAGAGTCGATGTCTTCGCATTTAAGTTGGAGGCCGTTGCTATTGGGGGTTGGAGGCCATCGTTACTGGGTTGGAGGCCATTGCTTCTAGGTTGGAGGCCATTGCTACTAGGGTGGAGGCCATCGCTATTAGGTTGGAGTCCATCGCTGCTGGGTTGGAGGCGACCGCTACTACCTTGGAGGCCATCGCTATTAGCTTCGTTACGAATGTTACTAGGTTGGAGGTCATTGCTTCTTGGTTGCAGCCTAACGCTACTAGGTTGGAGGCCATTGCTTCTAGGTCGGAGACCATCGTTGCCGGGTTGGAGGCCATCACTATTAGTCCGTCTTCGTCCTAGCCATGTTCCCGAACTGAGAGTCGATGTCTTCGCATTCCTGCTGAATGGAGCCTGGCGAGTCTGCGAGCCGACCATCAATCGCCGACCGAAGGCCTCGCCAGGCCCCCCCCCCCCCGACAGACACCAAGCAGACACCCTGACAGGGGAGAACTGAGAAGACTGAGATGCGTTTGTCGCTGGGGACGCGCATAAATGCAAGAAAGGAGTACTGTAGAAGATAGTAGAAGTATAGATTGAAAATGCATGAAGATCCATATGGATAATATCAAGCTGCACAACAAAAGAAACAAACAAACGTTGGGATTCTTCAGCGAGCGATTCTTCAGCACTCATGGGATCCAACGTTCCCATCAGTGCACATGGACCCTCCAATCACAACAATGATCAACTAACCAGTCCTGGCCGAAAACACTCTTGGTGAATGATTTCAATACCTGAAAATGGATGGCTCGTGATGTTTAAGGTGGTTGACAACTGCTGTCATGATGTGCCCCTGATTCATCTGCCTGTATCATGGCACATCCAGTGTTCTCAGATACTTTTAAGATCTTTTAAGACCCAACACACCCAGAGTCCTCTTCTGCCGCAAAATAGCAATTCCTGTTCCAACATGAATCCAGAAGTAAAACGCCACCCCCTGGTTGCTAAGCATCGGCGATGTTACACTTTGCTTGACAGAAACCAGTCACGGTGTTTGCTGTATACCCATGGCACCCTCTTCGGCACCCTCTTCGTCATGGATGAATGCGGTTCACAAGTCATTGCCAAACCTGACATTCCTTTAAACATGATGACCCCTCATTCGGCACCCTCTTAAAGGAGGTGAGTTCGACATCGAAAAGCGGAACCGACCAGTGATTCTCCGGGAAGATGACTTTTGTGCGCTGAGCACTGGGCCAACTTTCCAGCTGGCAAATGGTGTGTGAACGAACTGTTAAGTCAACAGAATCGAACGAGTCGGATCGCTTCGCAGAAACTCCACCGCTCGGCTTCGCAGGATCCGTTTGGTGCTCGCCGCCTCCGTGGGCTAAGGCCTCGCCGGCCGCTACGGCACTGACGGTGCTGCCCACCGTGACCTGAAGGGATGAAGGCGCGCAGTGCGAAGCCTGTCTAAGTGGAGGCCATCGCTAGCTTCCAATCTTCTGGGCCGTGCAGCAGATGATTCTATTCAAAAGAGGCCGTCCCGGAGTCGGACAGACCAGCTTCTTTTGGAGTCAGAGTCCGTCGACCCCTGTTGCTTCGACGCTCCAGGTGCGCCGTCTGAAGCTGCCAAACTTCTAGGCCATCCGACGTCCACAGTATCGGTGCTCAAGCAGCCGCGCTCGCTACAGGTGCTGATGTCGCCGCTTAAGGTGCCAGTCTGGGCAGTGCTTGGCTGGGTGACGGGGGAACATGCCAGGGGTGGGCAGTGACAGACTGAGCAAATTGGTAGCTGGGAGGATAGGTTTTGTATAGGTATCCATCGGTTTATGTCGGCACACGGGGATTTCTGGTGGGTGCAGGACTCAGAAAAGAGATTGGTGGCAAGTCACAAATGACAAGCTGAACTGTCAGGAGTTCTCAGTCAATGAGCTTCTGATTGCTGAACAGCTGACCTACCCAGATTCACGCCAACCACACCCCATTGCTATTAGGTTGGAGGCCATCGCTACTATGTTGGAGGTCTCAAGACATGGGCCTGCAATGACCTGCATGGCGCGCGCGCGC